TATATATATCAGAATGGCAAGAGACACCCCTAGATTTTGCTTTGCCTTACATTTACACCTACATAGGCAAAAAAGATTTATTTTTTAAATTAAAAAAGAAAAAAACAAAAGAATAAGAAAATTAGAGAAGGCCCAGAATTTGTAAATGGGTATGAGAAATTATCACATAGGTAAAAAAGATGTCTTCACATACATAAAAATATAATAATAAAGCCCATCAATATTAACAACAAATCAGTTCTCAGGGGTAAATCAAACAACTTTAATCCTGGGGTTTACCCTTAAGAAAAAAAATAAAATATTATAAATAAAATCATAAAAATGAAAGATCAACGTTTTTGAAGTTAAAAATCTCTTGAAAATTGTTTCTAGTTAAAAGATTTCGCCTAAATACATGGGAGTATTCTGTATCTCTTTCCATTAATGCAAAACTCAAGGGGTCTATTATTCAAAAATTTCAATGATAAACAGAAGGAATTTGTAATCAGGGTAAAACTTTTGGGCCATTAGCTGATAATTGTTTAGAAGTATTAACATGAATGGTCTCCGGTTCGAGTCCGGGCGAAAAAAATAAAAATAAAAACAAAAATAAATAAAAAAAAATAAAAAAAAAAAAATATTAACATGAATGGAGAGCTCTAACTACAAAATAGTATACCGATTCACCAGAAGACGGGTTTCTTCCAGGAGAAGGCAGGTTTCTAGAATAAGATTCCCTGCTTGGTGATGGAGTTCTAGCAGCGAGAGCTAGCTTAAGGTCTTGTATCTCTTGCCTTTGTGACCTACAAATTGCTGAAAGCTTTTCATATTTGGAAGTTACTTCTGCCTTCTCCACATTCACAAGCACGAGCTGGTCCTTCAGCTTTTCCACCTCGGCCTGTAATGTTTCTTCCTTGTCCAGTTTCGGACAGTTGTCTACGGGATTCTGTTCAGTAGTTGAACTGAATACAGAAATAAAAGCATTATACACATCATTTTGTTGAACGGCTGGGGTGGCCTCTTGTTTGGGTTGTTTTGATCTTTCGGTATTATTAGCATTGTCGGGAAAGAGATTTGAGTTGTTTGTTGGGCCACCACCCAGTCTGCTGGCCGGTCTGCCTTGCGCATTCTTCTGAGAATGAGACTGAAAATTCTGCTCCTTTCGGATAGTCATCTGAGAACCTGTGTGCCGATTGGGACAGGTCATCTCGTTTGCAGATGATTTCTGATTGGTCAAGTCTCCATCATATTTTGGCAGTGTTTTTTCCTCCCTGGTTTCTGAAATTTGTGCATGCTGAGTGGTCCAAAAAGCACCAAGAGGACCAGGGTTATCAGTTCCTCTTAAATTACTCGAAACTGATGACACGTTTCGGGGTGCTTCGGATGAGGGTGGAGGAGGGGGATTCCTACGAGGCATTGGACTAGGCTTGTTAGAAGGCTTTGGCGTGCCTGCAGGTAGTGAGCAATTAAATTTAACATTAAATGTGAATTTTTTTTTTATTTATTTATTTTTTATTTTTTTCCTTTTGATGTTATGTGTATGAATCGCTGGTATATGTATGACCACCTTCATTTTGAATAAAATCGCAATCGACAATAATTTCAAAACTTCACCTGCAAGCATATCAGTACCATGCTGTGGCATTTCGGGAGGGCTATCAGGTAGCGGTTTCTGCATCCCAGCAGGCAAAAGAGCATTAAGGCGAAACCACACCTGCAAAAAAAGGAACAAATCAAAGGAGTTACTAAGCATACATTCCAAATTTAGCCCTCATGATTGATGGGCGCAAAACTCTACAACTAACCTAAATTCATCGAGATGAATGGCCAATCAAGCAAAATGCTTGCCTGCGTGATATCTGGTCTGTCATCAGGGGACGAATGAAGCATATCCTGGATGAGATCCGTCAGCAATTTATTGTATTTGGGTAAATCTGGAATTCGATAGTTCCCGTTTAGTATTTGGAGCTTTGACTCACCATCGAATGCAGACTTCAAATAACATATACGGAATAAGAGACACCCAATCGCCTGTACGCAATATCAAACATTTACCGACTTCACACAAGATATATACTAACTGAATATTTGTTTAGTCCAAGTAATACCGGAAGAGGTCAACTTACCCATATATCTACCTTCTCGTTTATAAGATCTCTTCGGAACAGATCCCACATCTAAGGCATTGAATGAGGGAGAAAAGACTTAAAAATTATACCATAAAAAGAGTAACAGGATCTCGATAGAAAATCCGTCATTTACCTCAGGAGCTCTATATGCAGGTGTCGTGTGTTTCCTTATGTTGTCTTCCTCAATTCCCATTTCTTCAGGTTTATCAAAGCGTTTATGCTTAGTAGAAGTGCTGCCAAAATCACACAACTTCCACAAGCCATCAGACCCCAGCAAAAGATTCTCAGCCTTCAAATCTCTATAAGAAAATAAGTCAAATGAGAATAAAAATAAATTCAAACCTTTGGGGCAGAAAAATAAGCACACGCACAGACAAAATTTACTTTACCAAACATAAAGAATGTTTGGTACTTCTATTTTGGTTGGGATGGAATATACTAGAAAATACTTTGCAGACACGCTAAAACACTAGATACTACAAATGGAAGTTCACTTTTCCATATAATCAACTCCAGACACAAACAGCCGAAGTAATATGTAAAATGTCTGCATACGTTATTACATAGACAGCTACCAAGTTAGTGATTTGCAACTTGATGAGCCTAGTTCCTTCAATCAGTCCAGAAATATGTGCAAAAGGAAAAAAACAGGAGCATGTCATGTGACAACATAAAAGACGCCTATAGGTGTCAGTGATAATGCGAATAATCTTCACACCAATGAAGATACAGTACGGTGTACCTATGAGCAATAGGCGGTTTCTGGCAGTGCATTGCAAAGACAGCATTGCATATATCTCTGAAAATTGCTAGGACCTGCTTCTCCTCAAAGAATCCAGCTCCTCCTCTGCTATCTAGAACATTTACAAGGGACTTCTCACAGTATTCCATGAGTAGGAGAGCCTCTGTAGTGCGACCCATATCAAAGATAGCATGGGCATGCAGTGTGACAATATTAGGATGCCCTTTGAGAGATTTCATTACTGAAATCTCCTTAATCACTAATTCTTGCGACTCTTCATCACTACATATGATGTGCTTTAATGCATATTGCTTGGAACCATGTAAAGCATCTCGAGCTAAGTAAACGCATGAGAATCCACCCTCTGCAATGGGATTTCGAACCTGAACTTTAAAATTGCCAATGTCAATGACGCGGCCTTCAAGACCAGTTTGTTCTTTATGCGCAAATGGTTTGAATCTCCACATGTTTGGGGTGATTCCCCACAATTGTGGAACACTGCAAATGTGAGTTAAATTATACTAAATAGTTAGCATATGAAGTTTCTAGTCTACAGTGCCAAAAAAAACACAAACATTTGAATAGAGACTAAAGATCAGACTTAATCCGACTGATACTAATTATAGTTGCAGCTTGCAATTACTACCACATTCCAATTTACTCATGGATCAAGATATCTCCAAGAATCCATTAAGAAGAATGTCACATTTGTATAAGAACTCAAAGTAAAAGAGGTGAGTTTGAAATGGCAAAGTGGTACAGAACGTATATAATGTCATATTGCACCTAGAGTTATCCTTGAATTTGAGCCTGAGACATGCACAAAGTGGTGAGATCATAGACAACATAACTAGATTCATATGATTTTTCCAGATTTATCTACATGGGAACATATCGAAACTATGAACTGTCCTTAGTTTCTCCTTCTAAATGCAGTCTTAAAGACATTAACATCTTGAACATCAGATGCTTAGAATTATAGTGAAACAGTTGTAATCGATTTTAATAAAATGGATCATTCATCATCTACAAGATAAATTGTGAATAGCAGCGGAAAGGCAAAGATGACTAAGCTTCTCTACATCATCAGACTAAAAGAGAAAGTCAAAATGTTGCACATTAAATACGGGGATTTATGGCGTCCAAAAATAAATCCTAAACAACTAAGACGACTAAAAGGAAAAAGTAGAAATCAAATCATACTAAGGCTCAAAATCTGATATAGAAAATAGATTTTGGTCTGAATGAGTGCTTTCTCAGAAAAAATCAGTTCATGCTATATTCACTTTTTAGATATATATGATTCTGCGGAATTGACAATTTTCAGTTCACTTTGGCATAACCAGATGAGTAATGCTATAGGTACATAATGTTGTACATAGAGGTGTACATAACACTCACATTGAGTGGGACCCATTAAAATTAAAAAATCAAGTGGACCCCACTCCATGTGAGTGTT